ACTCCAATCTAGGTACCACTGACCATACCCAGTTATGTGTCAATTAGTTTTCCATATACCATATATGATACCTTGAAATAAGAGATTTCAGTGGATTGCAAAGACTTGGTAAATGATAATTACAATTACCATTTCTCTTTAATTGTTTATGGATCAACAAGCACAACAAATTCACCCATTATGGTCTATGGATAGGTTGGAATGATGGTGGTAGTGCTCCCATAGTCAGACATTTGGAAATTATAAGGAGTCCATCGACATCCATGCTGCCATACATTTCTCTATTTCTATGATTTCTCGGTCATCTCCTCCTTCCACCACGACCCAAAATTGTGGCAAAACAAGTAGAAAACTCAAAATCGCTGAAACCCTAAACTGGGTTGAATTCTTCACATTTATATTCGTATTTGTTGGAGGTCTATACTCGATTGGTTTACTATAGTTAGGGATGACAATTCGACGTAATTGATTTTACCCGATATGTTTGACCTGTTATGGGGCGAGTTCGACTTGTACATGTAGGCGGGCTGGAGCAGGCATGAATACTTTTATCGATTCGACCTGTCCTGATCCGCTTTATTCTTGGCTCGTTTTTGTCTAACTTACATTTGATTTTAGTCAAATTACTTAGAATTTTCTTTTTATTACCTCATATTTTAGCTATCATATATACAATTATAAATAAGTGAAAACTCAATTTCTCCAATAATTTAACTAAACTTATCATATTATGGTTTGATTCTTGGTCTTCTAATGAAAATACCAAATATTTCTAATATTTATATAATTACATACCCATAGAATCAACCTGTCCTGACTCGTGTCCCATGATAAATTATCTGACCTGCCACAGAACGAATATAAGTATCGAGATATCCATCCCGAACCCGCCCATTGCCATTCCTGTCTATAGCTAGTTATTTTCTTTACAATATTTTCCAAATGGCCATTATGTTAGCGGTTTTGAGCTAGTTTTTGGGCTTGTGTAATTTGGTTTGGCCCATTGTATAATAACATATACGTAGACATAGAGAACTAGCCCTAGCAGAGGCATGCATACGTGAGCTAGGGTTAGAGGATGTATATATATGTAAACATGTGGAGTATCGGACTCAAGCAGAGAAAACCTAATAAGAGTTTCAGCTCGGAGAGTTCTAGCTCTTCCGTGGACTAGTCCCGATATCGGGGAAACCACGTAAATACTGTGTCTCGTTATCGTTTCTGTTTTCGTATTGAGAGTGTTTTGATACTAACTAACACATTATTCTAAAGTCCTTCTGCATAATTCAATTCAACAATCGCATTCGCCCTTATATCTTTCCGTTAAATATCTTTTCTGTCTCTGCCGAAAACGAAAGGGGAAAAGTAAACCATTGAGACGCCTTGAGGGCCAAGAAGAAAAAGGATTGGGGAAAAACAGTCGCACTATGATCTTTATTGCATGCATTATTTAGTATTAGATGAGTAAGTAGACTTTTCCAGCCAAAGGTGAACCTGAAACAGAGTAAACAAGGGTCAAGGAAGCTCAAGATGTTGGGATTCATGATGTGGATGAGAATAATGGAGGGAAGGGACTTCAAGGCTCACTTGTATCCACATTGGTCAAATGTAAAAGTGTAAGTTAGTATGTAACTTTGTAGAGTCCCAATATGATTAGTGTAAAGGTTGGGAAGAAGAAGATGAGCTCCTCGTGCTGTCTTTGTCGTTCGATTGCTCAACTTCATATATATGATTTAATTTGCGCTTTTTCGAGCCTAATTAGATTGGTTTCATATCGAACTAGTTACATCCACATCGTTGCAATCCATGGACTTGCAACCATCGACCCAAACCTAATTGTCATACCAGTCGAATCATCTTTTTAGATGCATCTCCTTCAATGTTTGTATAGATTCACACTCGTTTAATTATTGTTTTTCATCACTTGTTTGTCAACACAAAACGACTCTATCAAATGTTTTTCTGCATTTTCCTCTCCTCCAAAGTACAAAATAGTGTCAAGGGTTCCGCGTGCCACTAACATTATAAGTACATTTACATCAGTCAGGTAATTAGGTCAATTTGGTCTATACAGTAAGAAGTTAGTATGTTAATTATTATGTTTTTTTTTTGGTGCGAAACAGAGCGCTAGGGGCGCTCTAACCCTTTAATTAACGATAGTTCGCTGGGTTTGGACCCTAATAGTATCAAAATACAACCAATGCCGCAGGGTAGGGCTCGGAACATCAACCAAATGAACTCCTATAGGTAAAGAATGGCCAACAGACGCCAAATAATCCGCAACATAGTTGCCTTCACGAAAATAGTGATATACTTTGGTTCGGATATGTTTATTATATTCATTTTTTTTTAATTATAATTATTCTTACACGTTCTGTTTATGTGCATTTTTGTGGCACCCCAGAACTGGAAAGGGAATATGATGCGAATAGGGATGACATTAGTATGTATGAGATTGGGATTTTGCTAAATCTTTCTATTCTGATTTTGAGTTTGTAAATCCCCATGCTTTCCATCTATGTAGGAATGATTTTGAGTTTGTAAATCCCCATGCTTTTCATATATGTAGGGATGATATATTTTGTCCCCATGGATTTTTGGATATCTACCGATAATCCTCTTCTCGCAACTTCCAACTGAATTCAATTTAAAATTAGTGTAATCGAGTTGAATGCACAAATCAATTTTAAATTTAAAAATGTAACATATTATCCATTCCCATCCGTGCTCGATCAAGGCGAGAATTATAATTTTTTTCTAGATCAAAGATGTTTGATACCTACATTTTGTGGGTATAATTGTCATCCATTTCAAGTTCAACAAGCATTTTTTTTTTGTCATTAGATCCCTCATAAGAGGTTAAGATGTGTAACACCTTCGGCAAATCCCACATCGATAAAGCAGGGGAGAGATCCATAGTTCACAAGTAAGAAACTGATCTTAACTGACAAGACGCGTTTTGGAGTGAAATGAAGGAGTTCTTGTGAGAACTACGAAGTTAAACGTGCTCAGTGTGGAGTACAACAAGGATAGATGACCTTATGGGAAGTCACCTTGATATGCATCCCAAGGCAAATCCGTGCGGGTATAGAGGCCCAAAGCGGACAATATCTTGTCGGAAAAAGTTTTGGGATGTTACAAGATGCAAGATCATAGGCTAATTATCATAAATGGTCACAAAACTATGCACTTTGTACAAAACGGTCACAAACCTTTAATTTTGCACGTTTCAGTAACATATGTTTAGACTAATAACAAAAAGGTAATTATGTCCATCTTCATCCAAAAAAACCGTTACTTCCGTCTAGTCAGCATACCACGTCATTGAAAAAATTAATAAAAAATTAATGATCAAACCCATTTGAACAGATAACCTAACCGAAAACATGTAGCCACCCACCCGAAAACACTAAATTCTTGTGTTTCCCGGGAGGCCAGTCTCTGTTCGATTTCCCTTCCCCGCCGCCATCAAAATCCTGGCCTCCATCCTCACAGCAACGGCGCGGAACCTCACGAAGCTCTGAATCCGTCGGAAGTTGCGGAGATGGAGGGACTATAGGTTGCATCGTTTGCTGAGCACGAAGCTCTGAATCCGGCGAAGGTAGAGAGCTTGAGGAAGTTGGTAGCTGAAGTTGCCCAATTAGTCGGCTGGGATGCTGGGAATAGGTATGAATTTTCGAGGACGGTTATGCATAGGCGGAGGCAGGCTACTTTGAATGTGTCCTAGGACACAGGTGAAATTTGGGGTAGAGGAATAATACCCATATGTGTATCAAGCTAGAGGTGGAAATCGGTACGGTATTTGGTATCGGAATACCAATACCGAAATCTTAAATAATGAATTACATCCTAAAATTAATGTCAATCTCAATCCCTAAATAATTTCGATATCTCAATCCCTAAATATTTTGGTATCACAATCGATTTTATCGAATACAAAATTAATTACCTTTGCAGTTAATAATTAAATATATAAATTTAATTTAATTGTTTAATTTAGGACAAAGAGACTAAGCAACGAGTATTGAGTTTTCCCAGAGTTAGGATACCGAATAACACTTGAAAATGAATCCCAATCCCAATTCCTAAAAAATAAGCCGGTATTCGATAATACCTAATAGTGATAAATTCGGTACGATATACAGTATACCCCAAATACCGGTACCAAATTTCGAGCCCTATATCAAGTATTGAACCCTTGACTTTTTGGATAATGAATAAGTATCATATCACTACACTAAATATTATTTCTTGTTTATTTTCAATTTAATTAATTAATTTAATTAATTAATTTTATGAGAAGAGGACACATGTATGTTTGAATCCTGGCTTCGCCACTGCGGTTATGATTTGAATTGAATGGTGACTAGTCCGGGTTGAATTGAATGTGTATGAATGGTTTAATTATTCTATTTGAACTGGGTGCTCTGGAAACTTACTGGACTTTCATTGGAAATCAGTGCATGATATCCATCCCTCTACACTCTCTTGTTCCAGAAGTGACGCGGCAGAGGATGGAGGCCGGGATTTTGGTGGCGGCGGGGAAGGGAAATCAACGGGAAACTGGCCTCGTGGGAAATGGAAGACTTTAGTGTTTTTGGTTGGGTGAGTATAAAATTAGGTTTTTCGGTTGGGTTTTCAGTTTAATTGGGTTTTCAGTTTCATTGGGTTTGGTCATTAATTTTTTAAATGTTGTGGTGTGCTGATTGGACAAAAGTAACAGTTTTTTGTATGGAGATGGACGAAATTATCTTTTTGTTATTAGTCCAAACATATGTTACTGAAATGTACAAAATTAAAGATTTGTGATCGTTTTGTATAAAGTGAATAGTTTTATGACCATTTATGATAATTACCCAAGATGAAAGGTCAACGTTACATTCAACAAAACGAATCCGAACTTGAGGCACCAAACCCATTAGCATACCAATCTCCCGAAGGACTGCTACCGCTTTAACATCACTATTCTTCCTGGACTGGATGACATCAGCTCATCTACTGGGCTTCTCCAACCACGGCCCACGGGCCCTTAATTATAAAGCCACACAATGTCAAGCACAATAAGAAAGCCACGCCCACAGGCCACAACCGTGGCCTTACTGCGCGATTTAATTTCTAGTTCCTCAGTTCTACAGAAGCAGCAGGAACTCTCCCTTATCCGATGGCGTCTTCATCCTCTGTACCATTATTATTGGCTTTAATCCCCCCAAAACGTCAGATGGGGATCATGGGAAACCCTCCGATTCGATTCGGCCTCCTCGATCGAGCCTACGACAGCGCAAGAATCCGATCCACGACTCTGTATCTATCGTACGTGCCCGTCCACAGTGATGCCCAAATGTCAACACCGACCCACTTGGTTTTCGTTCTTACTGCGCCATCATCACTGCCAACGTAAACCAGCAGTCCCGATGTGGATCACTTCATCTTCATCATCCCCCCACATGCCCCACTTGATCTCTCAGTGACGATCGCCCGAAACGACAAAAAAAGAAAGCGCAAAAGCAATGGCGATGCTGACGGAATCACCAAAACCAACACCGGCAGGCGGCAACCACCACCACCACCTTCTTCCATACCCCTCCGCCGCTGGAAGACAGAAGTTATGGCGTCATTCATCTTCACGTCATTTCGGGTTTAGTCTACCCAGGAGCAGCAACATTTGACTTCGCGTGGTATTGCATATTTGCATACCACCACACCCACGAGTTGAGCTCTCTCTCTCTCTCTCTCTCTCTCTGTTCCTTCTCTAATGGCGGTTCTTCTTCATCTTCTTGTTTCGCCTTTTACGCTTCCCGTCACCCATGTTCCCAGCTCTCAAGCCCATTCCGTTGCTTCAATTAGGGTTCCGGATAGAACAAATTTCCCATTTCCCCCCTTTGGGGTTTCCTAGATTCCTCCCTCCTCCCTCCTTTCTCAGTTTCTCTTATTAATTGTCAGTTTGTCACTCTGTTTTCCCCCCAAAAGTCCTCGAATTTTCAATTTTAACCTAATTTCCTCTCCTACCCACTCCCTGTCGTGGAATTCCCAGACCTGGGTTCGCGTTTGATTTTGAATTGGGATGGATTGCAGATTCGGATCCTCCGATTCGAACGACATTATCAGCAACGGGAGCAGCTCCTGCTGTGTAGAATTGCATCCTTCTTCCACTTCCCATTCCCATCCCCACCAGCCGGAATTCGCCGCGCTCCACCGTCTCTCTAGGAACCTCGACTCCGCCTTCGACCCTTCCTCGGAATTCAACTTCTTCGCCGATGCGAAGATCGTCGTCCCCGGCGGCCGCGAGGTTCCGGTTCACCGCTGCATTCTGTCGTCGAGGAGCGAGTTCTTCAGGAACGTGTTCTGCAGTGCCAAGGAGAATTGCGGCGGCAGGTTTGAACTGAAGGAGTTAGCTAAAGACTACGAGGTTGGGTTCGAGCCGCTGGTGGCGGTTTTGGGTTACTTGTACAGTGGCACGGTTAGGGCTCTTCCGTCGGGAATCTGCGAGTGCGTGGATGATGATTGCTCTCATTTGGCCTGCCGCCCCGCCGTGGATTTCATGGTCGAGGTTCTCTATGCTTCTTTCACGTTTCAGGTTCCTGAACTGGTCGCTCTCTATCAGGTAAAAATGCAAAGTCTTGTTTGTTAGAATCCGCCCTCGCACTGTTGTTTTGAAGTTTGAATCACATATTTTGGATTACTTCATTTGATCCGCAGAGACGGCTACTAGATGTGCTCGACAAGGTTTCGACAGACGACATGTTGGTAGTACTATCTGTGGCGAACAAGTGTAGCAAAGCTTGTGAAAAATTGCTATCGAGATGCATCGAGATGGTTGTGAAATCCGACATCGACATCGTTACTCTGGACAAGGCCTTGCCACACCACATCGTGGCGCGAATCACAGACGCGCGATGGGAGCTGGATTCAAACGCCAAGCCTCGAGCAGCAGCAACAGCAGCAACGACTCATTGCTTCCCGGACAAACACGTGAAGAGAATCCATCGAGCTTTGGACTCGGACGACGTTGAGCTAGTGAGGATGCTGCTGAAAGAAGGCCACACGAATCTAGACGATGCAGAGGCACTGCACTATGCGGTTGCATACTGTGATTCGAAGACCACGACAGAGCTTCTCGACCTGGGGTTGGCCGATGTGAATCAAACGAACTCGAGGGGTTACACCGTGCTCCATGTTGCTGCAATGAGGAAAGAGCCTAAGATCGTCGTATCTCTGCTGACAAAGGGAGCTCGGCCTTCTGCCCTCACCTCGGATGGCAGGAAAGCTCTGCAGATTGCAAAGAGACTCACCAGAGCTGCGGACTACCACAGGTGTATTGAGGAAGGGAAAGCTTCTCCCAACGAGCGTCTTTGCATCGAGATACTGGAGCAGGCTGAGAGGAGGTCTCCGTTGCTCGGAGAAGCTTCTGTCTCCCTTGCCCTGGCTGGGGATGACCTACGAATGAAGCTGTTGTACCTTGAGAATAGAGGTTAGTTCATTTGAAAAAAATTTCAATTGAAGTATCAGAACTTTTCCACTAGCTGATTGAGTTGTGAAATGACTCCTTTCTGTTGTTTTCAAGCAGTTGGACTAGCAAAGCTTCTGTTCCCCATGGAAGCCAAAGTTGTGATGGACATTTGTGAGATAGATGACGCATCTGAGTTCCCATTAGGCAATATCCACGGGAAGAACTCTACCACGGTGGACTTGAACGAGACACCTTTCAAACTCCACGATGAGCATCTCAGTAGATTGAGAGCACTCTCGAGAAGAGGTAACCTATGAAACCTCTTTAATTATACGTTAACAAGATCCAAGCTATTCAATCCCACTAAATATAACCAAAAGCTCATAATATGTTGATGGCTACAGTGGAACTAGGGAAGAGGTTTTTCCCGCGATGCTCGGATGTACTGAACAAGATCATGGACGACGATGATAACCTGACGCAGCTGGCGTGTTTGGGAAATGGGACGCCAGAGGAGAAGCAGAGGAAGAGGAAGAGGTACGTGGAGCTGCAGCAGTTGCTTAGCAAGGCTTTCAGTGCTGATAAGGAAGAGTTCGATAGGTCTGCTATTTCTTCTTCGTCTTCCTCCAAATCTGTTGTTGGTGGTGGTGGTGGTGGAATGGCGTCCAAGAGGATTGCTACTGGTAAGCTTACTAGTAGCAGAAGAAGCTAATCTTCTTTTTCCGACTGGGGAGTGCTCAAAGAGTACTGTAAACATGGTTTCGATGTTGATACCTAAGAGTTCTCTCTCTGTGTATTTTTACCTATTGCGTTTGTCTTTGTAAATTGATCCTCAACACTTTTTGACCGGTGGTAGTGAGAGATAAATAAAGGGTTAATACTTGATACTAATAGGATCTGATGCTTCTCTTATCCGCAAGAGAAAATATATAGTACAGTGGCCGGATCAGTAGAACAACCAAATCAAATACAATAGTGTTCGGTTCATTTGCTTGGATGATACAGGATAAGTATAATGATTTTTCACGGTTGTACATGGAACATAATGAATCATCCTAATTTTGATCGGTCAACTATATTAACCAAAAAATGTTTAAGAAAAAATATTACAATATGAACTAAGATCATCTAAAACGACTAACTTTTTTTTTAGAACGAACTAAATTTATTTCTACTTTCTCTTTTTCTTTTTCTAGCTTTTTTTTTTTGGATTCATGCCATATCGACCGCCACAATAATTACCAATTTTATAAAGGAAATTATGATTTCTTTTTGGAGATAGTCTAAATGCTCAAATTTTGGTGATAGATAATATGAATTTGATTTTTTTTAATCTTTGTAAAACTTTTTTTCCGGTAATTTATCCTTCACAAATTAAGTCCTAAATTAGTGTCATATTTGTCTTTGATTTTGTACTGTGTAAACTGCTAATGTTTCAGTTCAACTGTCATCATTTGCTTGTAGGAATTTAGGATCTCAACTATAATTATAAGAATTAAAGTGTTCAAATTGAGAATCAAAGCGATGCTGAATTATATTAACTTGGACTCGGCTCTATCTGACCATGACTCAAAACATTTTGTTACATTGTTACAAGATAACAGTTGAGACACACACCAAAAAAAAATGTCCTCTTGAATTTTGCTTTCTGGGTAATTTGAGCTTGATTGGTGTCTGCCTCCATGATTTTAAGCAATTTATATTCTGGCTTCCTCGTCTGTCAACGTCGAGGCTGCCTGATCCCTCTGTACAAGTTCTTCCTCGGCCTCTTGGTGCCCGTGGCTGATTTGTTACCCGATCGCCCACCACCTGCTCGACCAATTGCCCAAGTCGGAAACAAGAACGACACTTCTAGCATGCCTTGGTGGAAGAGGAAGAAGAAGAAGAAGAAGAAAGCCATACCTGAAGAGGGTTGGGATGTTTTGGACGGGAAGGGCTCATAAGGGCTGATCTTGCTGATGGAAGTCTTGGGCTTGGGCCAGATGTCAGCGGCAGTGATGCTGCGGTTGCTGGGAATGAAGTCGCCGATAATCGCGCCGCCCATCTTCTTTGCTGGAGTGGAGAGAAAAAGGGGAAATGAGAAGAAGCTTTGGGTTCGAGAAAATGGAGGCTATATGCAGTGATATAGTCGCATTTCCGAGTTAAATTATGAATAAAGCTAATAGTATTGAATACATTTTCTCAAATAGTTATTTATCGAATTATTGACAATTCAAGTGTGTAACTTCTTTATGCCTTCCTTTTTCTAATGAATGAAAAATAAGCAAGTTATACAAAAAAGTTGCATGATTTATTTGTCATGGAATTTCCAACTAAAAGTGATTTTCGATAGTTAAAATAAGTGTGAATTTTCTTAGCATATAAGTTAATATGATGTTCAAGAAGTTTTTATCAAAGTAGGTTAAATATGTTGGTTTGGGATGTATTGTTAATTATATGGAGGATAACTTTTCCATATATAGTAGAATGATAATAATAAAAAATACGGGTTATAAAATTAAGATTTATTTATTTTTATTATCTTATCATGCGGAAAATTAGATATCGTAGCTGCGTGGACCTGAATTCTTATCATACCTGTATTTACCAAGCTTACCTACACATACATAACAATTTCTATTTTACCAAGTGAGGTTTTAGGATGCCAATCCTCTCCACCTCCATCCAACAATGAGGAGAGGGATGCCAAACCAGACAAACCATATTAAGTATAAAAAAAACGATTAATTTGGTCCACCACACATACAAAAAATTGCGAACCAATAATCGAGAAAAAAATTATTTTAAGCTTTAAAACCTGAAATTTCATTGCGCATATATAATTTCTTAAACAAACAAACCACATTGAACAAAAAATGAACGGTTTGCTTTGGTCCACCGCACCAAAAATCTAGGAAAACTATTTTTGCCTTAAAGCCAATATTTCAATACGATGCATAATGTTGATACTCTAAATCCAAATAAATAATGAAAACACAAAACCAAATCAACCCAACTTCCACAATAACATAAATATACATATAATGCATATGGAGACGCGACCATCTCTACCTTTGGCGAGATGTGGTTTCTGAATGAAAGAAAATCCTAGATTCACAAAATTGGAGTTGAGATTGGAGTCTCATTAGAGTGAAGAGATTGATTGAGTGGAACGAATCTACGATCTGCTGCATCAGAGCATACCAACAAACCAAAACATAAAATAATACAAATTATTTACCAAACCATTTTAAAAGTCTACATTTCGGTTTGATCCACAATTTGGCAAACAATCAGACCTACTTTCCCGTGCACTACGCGCATATGCACACAAACTTGGGGCGAAGTTGCAATTTGGCGCCCCAGGTTTCTTCCTCTCTTGTCTCTACTTCCCTTTCTATACTAAAAAATTGCTTATTTTCCGGCGCCACTGGCACCCTACCGCCAGTGGTTTTTGAATGGGCCTCTAGCCCAGTACTTGCTTGGCACGTTCCTAAATAATAATCCTATCCACTTTTTCGAATCAATTAACAAGGCATTAAAAATTCTAATATTAGTCACTTTTACATGTACCTAATATTTGTTTGAAGTGTGTCATTGATGCACACTAAATTAAAGGAGTGATAATTTTCTTAATTACGAAATCGAAGTCAATTAAAATTAACAATAAATTACAAATATTGTATCATGATGATTCTTTTGCGTCCGGATTTTTTGTCAAATCCAAAAAGATTAACCAATTATTGGCCAATAATCAGAAGAGAAGACTATATCAACTGTTAATTATTATACTGTGAATTAGATTAGAGAGCAAGGATATTCAGTCCCTCAATTATTAGCCTAATGGGAATGGCGGTGAACTAATGATTACACTTTATAGTGGATATTAAGGTTGGTAGAAAATTATTGGCACATCAACGACCACTTGAAAGGTACAATTTTAAGACATTAAATCTCATAAAGTTTAACCAATGTCACTAAAAACTTATGATATTACATCAAATTCCATAAAGTTCAAATACAGTCATATACTCATATTCAATCGCGAACCTTTTTTTTCTTCTTATTGTAATACGTTACCAAAAGAAATTTGCAAGGAAATCCATACTTGAAATTGAACGATCATTCAAACTTGCAATTTTTTTTGGATAAAACGAAGGAAAATCAAAACGTGCGGGTTTCTGAAATTTATACAGAACAAATCAAATTGGCAACGCAACAAAACGAAATCAAATTCCAAACTAGCAGCTGCCACCGTGAAAGGTTAAACGGCAGCCGCGACAGCAGGGACGATGTCCTCGTCGTCGTTGAAGTTCCAGAGATCTCCGACGAGGCTCTCCTCGGCTGCACTCTGAGTCGCCGACTGCCCATCGAGATACGGGATCTGATAGAACTTCATATAGTTCTCGTACGCCATCAGCTCCTCCGACAGCTTCTGTACCTCCGTTGGCTCCTCCTCCTCCACCACCGCCACCACCACCGGCGTCACTATTTTCTTCTCCGACGTTAATTTCTCAGGTTCTTCTTCCTTGACGGCTTCCAATAGACAATTACTGCTGCCGAGACCGCGATTGTAATCATTCACGTTTGGGTTCAAGTCGTCCGAAGCCGACCCGGAATAATTGTCCTCCTCGTCGGAAGCATTGGAAAGATAGGCCTCGATCTGGTTGAGGTCGTAGCGGAACCCGGAATTATTAGCACGGGGGATGCTAACAGTTTCATCGATCGGGAGATTTCTCGAGTAACAACAGTCGGCGGCATCTTCGTTGGGGAAATTGACCTTCGCCTTCTTCCCGCGGATTTTGACGGCTTCTCTGTCGTAGGCACGAGCCGCTTCCTCGGCGGTGTTGAAGGTGCCGAGCCAGACACGAACCCCTTTCCTCGGGTCGCGAATCTCGGCAGCCCATTTCCCCCATGGACGCTGCCGGATCCCTCTGTACAGGTTCTTCCTCTGCCTCTTTACGCCCGTGTGTAACTCGTTATCCGATCGCCCACCACCTGCTCGACCAATTGCCCAAGTCAGAAAAACAAGAACGGCGTCTCTTCCTTCACGAAATAGAACGGGGGGAAAGGAAGAAGAAAGTCATACCTGAAGAGGGTTGGGATCTTTTCGACGGGAAGGGATCATAAGGGCTGATCTTGTTGCTGATGGAAGTCTTGGGCCAGATGTCAGCAGCAGCGGCGCTGCGGTTGCGGGGAATGAAGTCGGCGATAATCGCTCCGCCGCACATCTTCTTTGCTGGGGAGAAAAAGGGGATTTGAGAAGAAGCTTTTGTTCCTTCCGGAAAGACAGCAATTAGGACTGCAGGGCAAGAAAACGGGAAGTTGGGGTTGGAGAGTGGTTTTATGAAGGCGATGTTCAGGAAGTGATTGAGGAAGAGAGATGGAAGGGGTTTATGTAGGCAGGAGGGAAAAGTGAAAAGGAGAGGGATCTATGGGCCGCACATCACTTTCTGGTTTAGAACCAACTTGGCATCGGTAACTTCTAGATGAAATGGAAGGAGCTGCGTAGAAGGCTGTATGGCGCATTACTAACCGGATACATTCTAGAGTTGTTAATGATGATTTGGCGGCTGATTTGAGAAAAACTCATTAGTCTTATTTCAGTAGGCTGAGGGATCACTTCCTACGGATCGTGCAACATTTTGATCGGGTATCCTTTCAGTGGCTCCCTGATGGAGAGGCTCACCGTCTCTCTACTCATGAGATGCTCCTCTTTCGCTCTATCAGAAAAGGGCTTCTAGCTTCACTTAGGATGGCTCATAGCGGAGATGTTCGCCAAACTGCATCAAAGAAGAAATCGAGCCAGATGCCAGGCCGCGGCTATATCTTCACCAGTTGGTCCCAATAACTCGAATTGTTGGGAGAAGGTTATGCTGGATCTTATACCACACTCTAACACGCCCC